TTTTCATCGATGATGGGGTGGACCAGAAAAATGTACGTCCGTCTATATCTACCGATCGGCAGTCCCTGAATTTTTCCGGAAATTACGCGATCCGATCGTAGTTAATCAAACGAGACCGTGAAAAGAGAGAGTCGGTAAAAGAGAGAGAGAGAGAGAGAGAGAGAGAAAGGATGGGAGGAAAAAAACGAGTGGGGTGGAAGGTAAACGAATTTATTACGAGGGTGAAAACAAAAAAAAATATCGAATGAAAGGATCGAAGCGCGGATAGGACGGTGTCCAATCGGCGAATCGACGCCCTCCGTCGACGGGGCAAACTGTCGAATTGTCATTTTGCCAAACGGACAAATTGCGAGAACGGATATCTCATCGAACGAACAAATTGCTGAATATGTTGTGCCTGCAATAAGCGAGCTCGCGCGGACGGCTATCTCTCTCCCGACGTATTAAACGCGTCGAATGGATTTATTAAACTTTTGTATCCTTTGCAGGCCGACCGTGTTGGCGAGAGCTCGAAACTCTCAAAGCCGATCATGAATTCGATTAATAAAAAAAAAACTAGAGAGAGAGAGAGGGAGAGGATCGAATGGGAAAGTGAAAAAAGACGGAAATATTTCGCGAAACCGAATCGATATCGACGAGTTTCAACCCCGATCCTACATATTCCCGTCAATTGTCTTTCCCTTCTTACAATTTCCCTCGATTCGAAGGATTATCCAGCTCTGTGTTCCACGTAGCCAATGCAGAATCGACGAGCGCGAAGATTAACGCTTGCAAAATTGAAGAATGCAAATTGCTTCTCTGTTTTATGCAAAGGCGAATTCATATCTGGCTTCCGGAGCGTTCGAAAAAAGCTGGAAACGCGAGCACGATCGTTGTTGCAATTTTTTTCGCGAGCTTTTTCAACAGCGCGAAACCCGTTGTTTCGGGGAAAAACATTCATCAACTTCGTATTCCGGGTTGAAACATTCAACGGGATCGATTATGCGATGAAATATTCAGAAAATTTGCTACCACGACGAATCGTACTCGCTCAGGAACGGCGAGCAAACCGATAACAACGGCGACTTGGACTTTTGATCTCGTTTTCGAATTCGCGGGAAACTCGTATGGAATCGCGTAACGCGTAAATTAACCGGATACCACAACGGCGAAGAGAACGCGGTTGGCGGAAAAATTGCTCGCGAAATGCTTTAATCCGCCTGGTGTTCGCGATCTCGATTTCGACGTGAAAGGAATCGCGGAACGAGGAAATGTCGGGTCACGGTCGAATAAAATTCGGCGAAATCCAGACGTAATTGTTCCGAACACGTTTTAATTTATGAATGAATAGACGGTTTCGGGGGGACGGGCGGCGTAAAACGCGAAACGGCCGTGAAACAACGTGAAACCGGCGAAAGGCGAATGGATTTTCGATTTTGCGCGTCATTAAAATTTCATCGGGATCGAGTCGAAGCTATCGGTGCACGCCAGTTACGTCTCGCGCCGCGTGCACGTACACCTACAGCTACCTGTACTTGCACACGGCTACGCGCGGCCCTTGCAGAGGAGCCCTGGTAATCGCATATTTATCCAGGGTGGATGGAGCGCGGCAGGTGTATAAGCCTGGACACCTTTTGATTGGCAAACATGCATATTTTATCTCGGCTCGCAATCGGATAACGTGTTGTTCGTATCAATTATTCTCCAAAACTCAACGCTACCGCCTAATGGGGAACGGAGTTTTAATTGAAACGTAATCCCAATTAAAACGAGTTCGCGATACTCCATGCACGAATACGCGTAATCGCGTTAACGAAATGAAATGTCCACTCTGGCGCAAGATATCGGTGCTTGTTCATGGAAAAAGGCATGGCGAGCTTTTTAGTCGATAAGTTTCAACGGTATGCCCCCGAACCACGTGGATTCTATTTTCTTCCTTTCTTGTTTTTCGCAAATTTTTTTCCTCCTTTCACTTTCTCTTGTTCTTTATTTCTTATTTTTAATATCCCGTCGCGAGCGAAGTGAAACGCATCGCGTTAAAATAAGGTATTGTTTTCCCTTTTGACAAAGGCAAATTCTGGGAACGAAATGGTATTTTTATTAAGGGATATCGCGAATGTTATTCGACGCTAGGAATTCGTTCTATCCGTTCGTAGAGTCGAATAAACGTTAGGACGAGAGTCTGTCATTTCAATATATTTATTCCGTTTATTTTTATTCATAACGACTTACATTTCTATGCTCTTCAAATATACAGTCTTATATCTGGCATGACTCGTACCGACAGGTATTTACAACACTCTCAGAAAACGTCACGTAACAATCTCATACACACCCTTTGTAAATATAACATTTCTTTATAAATGACTTCTTCTAATAGGATTCGTGTGCCCTCGTCGCATCACCGGTTCGCAACGATCGTCACACGAAGGCGACATCCGCTAAAACGCGCTCGCTTCCATTCCCATACCTTTCGTTCTTTCTTTTTATCCCACCCCAACCCCGTCGAACTGATTCCGCATCGATTACCTGCGTAGAAAAATCACTGTCCCTCTAATGCGATAATTTCGCGTTAATCGTACGTTAAAAAATGCTTCCGCCGTTAAGTGGTAACCTTAGAAAACGAATAGAGAACGCGTACACGTGTATTGTCGGATCAACGATGCGTCCGGGAAGTTGTCGCTAAACGAAGTGAACCGAATTCGCTAACCGATCGGCTGGGATCCACGTCGGCCGTCGCGATTCCGCCATTCGAAAACGACCAAAACGACGAGACGCGACTAACAACGATTCCTCATCGACATCCTTACCAGCTACGGTAGACAGCTCGGAGGAAGACAATCGGCCGTGATTGGCAACCGATCGGTAAATCCAGTCATAAGCGAATATTTTCCAATTAGCCGGACGTCCCACCATACCGTTAACTCGACGCGTGAAGAGCGAACAGACACACCTGACTCGCAGGCTCGACTGACTTCCTCCGAGCTTCCTAATAGTACTTATCTACTTACGTTCTAGACAGGTTTATCTTCCCCATTTTTCTTTTTGTTCACTTATTATCTTCCTAACGCGTCAATGCCTCGTTAGAGCACCTTTTTACGAATACTTTCTGTTCCTCACAGGCATCCGGATCGCGATCGATTCGGTTCACCGGGTTCGCTGGGCTCGTCAGCGGAAGAACGTGACGGCGCGTCCTCTACGACGCCGATTCCTCGAGTTCGCCGCGTACCCGCAAATGCCGTCGCGACGAACATGGCCGACGAGCTGTCACGACACGACGATACGATTTCTTTACGCGGGAGAGAAGGTGCGTCGCATAATCGAGTGCAAAGTTGCCGCGAAAGCTTCGCGCGTGCTGTGCTTCTCGAGAGCTCTCGATCGCGGCTGATCGGCGAGTTCTGCCCCTAACAAGCTGGCTCGTATAACGCGCCTTGGATTTTCCCTAGAAGCGTGAGTGTCCTTAGAGTAATCGGCGTTGAGGAAAAAAGGTACTATAACCGACACGGTTTCGACGTCGCGAGTCTTCCCTCTTCGTTCACGAGCGGATCTACGCTCGTCGTCGTACTCCGCCCGAAGATCTCGGCGCGTCTTCGTTGCGAGTTTAGCCGAACCTTTGACGCGGGATGATCGCAGAGGCACATTAACGCAGCTACTTCGGAAAATTTCGTCGACGATCCTCGCTTCTGCTCCTAATTATTGGATACACGCCGCGGGGCTTTGAGCGGTGCGTGTAGAAAAATCTGCTCACGCCGAGTTGCGAATTGACGAATCTACCTGCCGTCGGTGATTAAATTGGACGTAATGATCGACTCACCGACATCTATGTCGCTATGCAAGCCGATGAAAATAAATCGCGTGGTTGTCTGCCCGTACGCGTGTATTCTCTCGCGGAGTCGAATCGGTCGACGCTTTTGTTCGATACATTGGAAATCGAACTCTGTCGCTCGAGTTACACCGAAACGTGGTAACGTGGTAGCGTGGAACGAAACTTGCGCTCGTGAAACACGTGAATCGGAGGTGTGGTAGCGAGCTTCGAGTTGCGACCCTCGCGCAAGAGGGTGCTGCTTCCTGTTGGAAAGGTACGACGTAAAAAAGTAACGAAACGATGGAATTCAGAGTTACGACTTAGAACGCGTAGACCACTGCGAAGTTGGATTTATCGGGAAAGAAAGGATCGCCTCCTTTGTCAGTCGGTAACGAAGAATATGCAAGAAGAACGACGTTCTCGCGACAAGCATAGCTCAGCTAAGCTCGGTAAGTTGAATGACGGCGACAGTACGAGGATTATCTCATATTAGAAACATCTAAAAATACTACTTTTATTTTATATAAAAAGATCTCGAACGACTCCCAGAGGTCCATTCCCTATCTTCGCCTCTCCTCCCTCGTCCCGTTTCGTAATATACAATTAACGTCTATATATTTATGTACAATTTGTTTCTCTGCCTCGCTGCCCCCTTCGTGTCTGCACACACACCCGGTTAATGGTGCTTGATCCTTGCTTAAACGATACGCCCACTGCACGACCTAAGTTTGCGCAAAAACGTATGGACAAATTAAGCTCTATATCGCGACTCCGTCGTAACAACTTCTATAATTTTATACAATCTCTGCTTGTATTATATATTCTATCTGTTCGAAGGAAATTTCGCGTTACCACGGTCCCGCGATCAGCGTGATTTACGATCGCATGCGAGATTACCGTAGTAAAGCGAATCGCGTTCGAAGGAATGGAAGGCATTTTGTAACGTTACCCTCGACTTTCTTCCTCCTTTTCCCCTTTCTCCTCGCTTTCTTTCTCGCCACTGAGCTTCGTGCGCTTCCACGGACTACTTATCGCAAATTTACCGAATAATCGAGACGCGATAACGAGGTTTTCTCTGCGTGATTGGAGGGAGATTGAAGGCATCGCGTTAGAAATCGCACGAGTACGTTTCGCCAAGGATTTCTACGCTATTCCACAAGCTTTTCCACTTTTCCACTTTTCCCTTTCTCTCTCTCTCTCTCTCTCTCTCTCTCTCTCCCTCTCCTTCGCTCTATCCCTTTCTACCTAGGAGAGACCTTTGTGTCAAGCTGTATGAAGCATAGCTCGTAAAAAACGCTCGTAGACTATAAACATTGGGGGAAAAACGAGTGAATGATTAACGCTAAAGGGGGAGGAATTACGCGATAGATCGTGAGAGTCGTGTCCAGAGTTCGTCCTATTCAGCGACATTCTCGCGTAACTGTCTCAGAGTCTCTCCTCTGTTCGTCGACTCGTGCTCCCGCGTTAACAAACGATACGATATCGGACCTGGATATAGAAACCGACATTTCCCTATTCCTCTCGAGATCCGTGCAGAGATCTGTACAACGAGTTACCGATCGCTGTCATCGACGTCAGGCACCGCAACCGAGAAACGAATGATTTAGGCCCGCTTTGGTAACAACGAGGTCACTGTCATGGAGGTCACCTTTCATGCACAGCCACCTGCGACTAAACTAATACGATCCATTGGGGCGTTCCCCTACGCGCTGTCAAAAACTGCCATTCGACCAGACGAACGAACGCTGGAAAACCAGAAGCAGGATCCACGTCGTCCTACACTACGACCTCTTCAATTGTCCCAAGTCCGAGTCCTTCGGCGAGTACAGGCCGAGCTTCAGAGTGAGCTCTTTCGGCTTCCTGACAGCGTTCCTCACAGGGAAAGGACTGAACTGAGTCTTCGGGCTGGTCACGGTGTTGTACCCGTCCTCGCCGCCTTTGCTCGAGTGACCGATGTTGCCCAGGCTCAGCGAGGATTTCTTGTAACTGCTGGAACCTCTGTCGGGCAGTTCCGGATATTTGCCGACGTTTATCTTGCCGGGGAATTCCGGGTGGGATACGGGTCGTTTGGACTCGTCGGGCAGACCTGAAGAAAGTTTCGTGGCGTAGTGATTGATGGTGGAGGGGAAACGTTGATCGGGGAACTGGCGGTTCGGCGACAGAGGGTGGTAATCCCGGTGCCTCGTCGGTAAATACGATCCCGTGTCGGTACCAGGTTCTATAGGCGGCAACGTGCTTATCTGCAGGTCGTACGTGCTCGTCGCGTGGGAGTATTCCTTGGGCGACAGGGGATCGTACTTGCGACGGAGGATATCGGAAGAATCGGCGGAATAGTCGAAGAAAGAGGTACCAGCAGTGTCCAGACATCTCTCCTCCTTCGGGATGTACTTGGTGGGCGTCAACGACTCGGTGCTCCCGTTGCTGTAATAGGGAGACTTGCTCGGGGTAGCGAGCGTTCTAGTTTCGGATGGGAGGGACATGTAGTCGGTTCCGACATCTCTGGCCGAGTCTTCGTCGTACCTCACGCGGAACTCCAGCGACTCCTTCGTCATCATCGGGCTCTTGATGGGTAAATCGTAGGCGTTGATCGAGATATCCGGTTTGTGGTTGATGTACTCGAAACTGGAGTCCACGATGGACTTGTCGTACGGCGTGGTCGCGAACGGATTGGTAGAGACGTGCTTGGGAGACAGCTTGGGCTTGAAGTCGAACGACTTGTAGGGCTCGTAGGAGCTTTTGAGCGGCGACGCGTCGTATTGGACCGGCTTGGACGTGTACCTGAGAGGCGAAACGTCCTTGAACGGCGACGTGTCGGGAACGTAGGGAATCGAGGTGAGTTCCTTCTGAGGAAGCTCCAGGGTCGGGTCCGGCAGCACCTGCGCCGAGGAGATTTTATCGAGCTTCTCCAACTCTCTGTAGATGTCTATGTCGCTCTTGGGCGACGAGTCGTCGACTTGATACTTGGCCACGCTGTACGGTAACACGTTTTCCGTGTACTTGGGAAACTTGTCGACCGGAATGGATGGTTCCTGCGTGGAGCCCAAGTCGCTTCTCGCGTCGATGGAGTCGCTCGACGATTTGTAAGAGAATACGTTGGTGGAGATGCTGGATGGTTCCAGTCCCTCGATTTCGCTGATGTTCTGGCTAGACGGTCCTTTATCCAGCGTCACCATGCTCACCGGCGAATGCTCGTCATAGTTTGCCAGCAGTTTTGACAACTCCTCGTTTATCTTGCGATCTATCAGAGCTTCCCTGGTGTCCATGTACTCGTGAGATATCACGTCGTCCACGTCGAACTGATCCATCTGTTCCGTCTCGTCGATCAGGGAAAGTTTCGACAGTTCCTCGTTGATTTTCGCGTCGAACTCGGACACGCTGGTGGCGGTCATGCTGTCGAAATCCTTGAAATTGATCCTCGCCAATTCTTCGTTGATCTCGTGCTCGTTTAGCCCCATCTTCTCCAGTATCGGGCTAAAGATCTTCGAGATCTCCTCGTTAATGGGGCTAATGGTGATTTCCTTCGATATCTCCTCCAAATCGGGCAGACGCTTCTTCGCCTGGCAGGCGAGAATCTTTTGCAGTATGGCGGAATTCTCTTGAATGATCTTCAACGCCCTATCGCTGTTCCTCCGCCCATTGTCGTCCTTCCGAGGTTTCACCTTCGTCCACACGCCCAGCTTCGATTCCCTGCCGTCGTCCGAATCGTCGCTCTTCCCACAGGTCATCGTCTTCAGTATACTGTCGCTCTTCTCGTCGATGTTGATCTTTGGCTGTACCACGTACAACATTCTCCCCTCCCCGGTTACATTTATGTCTGGTGTCTCCAATCGACACCTACAGAAATTGCGCGCAGAGTCGCTGAAAGTGTCCTGCCTCCTGGCCTCCAGGCTCTTCATGTCCTCCCACATGTAACTGCTCTTCTTCGTCAGCATTCCGCTGTCCGACGAACCGTCGTTCGCCTTCGCCTCCAGGTGCTTGATGTCCTCCAGGATGTCGCTCGATCTCTTCTTCGCGATCGAGGTGGCGAACTCGTCGGTGGAAGTCGACGACTTCAGGTCGGCGTACCTTCTGCTGTCCAGGCTGCTGGAACTTCTCTCCAACAGCTTCGACCGGTCCCTGTATCGATAATTTAGATAACGTTTATCCAGCTTCTCCTGAGGCAAACAAGGCACCACGTCTTTCTCCGACAGAGGATCGTCCGCTCCGTCGTCGAAGGCGTCCTTGTCTTTGCGATAATAATCGCTGGTCGTTGTCTCGTAATACTTAACGTCCACGCTATCGTTCCTCCTATCAGTCAGGTTCACGCCGGAATCTTCCTTCTTCAGACTAAATTCCGACCTGACGAAACTTTCGCTCTTTCGCGTCACGCTGTCCGCGTTCTTCGCGTCCGTGGTCTTGGACGAAGAATCGAACTTGGACTGATAGCCTAGGAACTTGTTCGACTCCCTCGAGCTGCTCGACTTCTGTTCGGGCGACGTTTCGCTGCTGTCGAAGCTGGACCTCCGCCTGGACGCGCTGTACGGCGACGTCGGAGTCTTTTGATTAGGATTAGAGATGGGATAAAACGGCGAGGTAGCGCTGCTCAAGTCGATCGGCGAGCCTGACACGTCGTCCTGCCCCCGTCTATTGAAATTCGAGGTATACTTTATCGAGTTGGCACTTATTGGCGATTGCAGGTCCGAACTGAACGACCTCTCGGAAGACTTTAATTTACTCGGACTGCACGATTCGCTGGAACTGCTCACCGCCAGCTTCGGACTCACCTCCGACTTGTTCTTCAACGAGTCCGTGCTGATGGGCGTCGTTGAACTGGACAGTTCGTACGTTTTCTTCGTGTCCGTCCTCGCGCTGTCCCTCGTCACGTCGGAGTCTATGGAACGAAGCACCAACGTCTTCGAATCGGAACTCACCGACGAACTGATAGACTTGTCCATGGAGAAATCTCGGGAATCCGACCTGACAGGTGTCCTCGGGCTGACGGTCAGACTAGAGGGTTTCGAGTCGGGTCCCATGGTTTCGCCGGAGCTGTACGATTTGCTGCTCTCGGGCGTCTTTGGACTCTTGGCTAGGTCCGCGTAGACCTTCGTCTGCGACGACTGTATCCTATCGCTGTAAGGTGTCCTATCTAACGTCGTTTCCGGGCTCTTGACGCTGTCGGGAGTCAACCCAGGTGGCCCGTGCACGTTCAGCGTTACCTTGCCCAGCTTCTGATCGACCGTCATCGGAGAAATGGGTAGATGGCCGACGTAGGTCTTGCAGTAAAGCGATCTCTCGGTGTTCACTGTGTCCAAAGTCTCGTTGATCAAACTGCTCGCTTTCGACGTCTCGTACGGTTTCAGCTCCAGGGACACTCTGCTCGAGAAGTCGAACGTCTTGAAGCGATCCGACTTGATTTCGTTCTCCATTCCTAAATCCGAGATCGCCTTGTCAGCGACAGTATCGTACTTCTTGTCCAACGACGTGGAAAAATCGGAGAACACATTCGAAGAGTCCTGTCTGGTGATGGCAGCAGCTGCCGTGTCCTCGGGTTGGTCTTTCTCGACAATCGCAACTTCGTCTCGAGGCACGTCGACGATCTCGTCAGGTGTCCGTTTGGATCGATGTTTCTCGTGAACCAATACCTCCTCGTCCTTGGGACCGATCCTGCTGCCAGGGAAACCCAGATAATCGTTCAGGTCCAGAGGTTTCTTCGCGATATCGCTGTCGGGAGTGTAGTCCACGGACATGTCAGGTGTCGATTTCTCCTTCCTCGTCTCTTTCGTCGACTGATCCGGCGACTCTTTGATCTGCGCGCTAAACTTTTGAGGAACCATCGAATTATTGTCATCCTCCGCCGACAGTCGTCGTATCTGATCGGTGATCTTCGCGATCGACATGTCGCCCAGGTTTTCCTCGGACGCCTTCCGGTCCCTCGAGCCGTCGACGTTCAACGGCTCGGTTTTCTCCTCTTGGAACGAACGGTCGAGCGTGTTCTCGGGCAGCGGCGAACCGTTCAGCCGAGAGCTCTTCTCGTCGTCGGCTGCGACCACGAAGGACTCGGATGCCGACGTAAGGTCCTCGCTGTCAACGTCACTCAGACGGTCCGGTTCGTCGCACAATTCCGTCGACGTGCTGTCGCTGTCGCTGTCACCGTTGCTGCGTTTCGGAGACGCCAAGTCAGCTTCCACGGATTGCACTAACACAGCGTTGCTCGCTACCGCTTCTGAAACACGTACGCGAATATTTCGACGAGTCATATGAACCGTATTTAACTGGCCGAAATTTGCGTACGTTTGTCTCTTATCGCGCGTCATCGAGCGATGATTCTGAATTCGTATCTACTTTTACGTTTTATCCCGATGTCGAGTCGATGCTCGATCGGTAACAAAATTCCTCGCGCGGGATTCTGTTCTATCGACGGTAGATAAGGGATCTCCACGAGAATCGACTAACCGTTGGTTAGCCATACGTACGAACAGACGGTAAACGCGTACCACGATGGTCTCTGTGTTACCATCGCTCGGTATACCAACAGTCGACGAGTAAAATATGCGATGAAACGGCGAGTTGAAAACGACGCGTAAAATTTGAGAACGATAGAGGAATATCTCTGCGTATTTACCGCGAAGGAATTGCATCGAAAGACGATTTATAAAGGCTCTGCGTAGGATTTGTACCTGACGAATTCGAGGGTTTCTGCTTGGGCTTTTTCGTGTCTTTCCAGTGAAGCGTGACACCTTGTCTGTCCCTTCGGTTTTGATTTAGAGTCGTGGGTCTTGTCTTGGTCGGCGCAGCACCAGAAGGTAGACTCAAGGGTCGATTCTTCCCACTCACGAGCGCACTTTTGCCCACTAAAAGATGATTCATGGCCTGAGAAGTAGGAGGTGGTACCATGGTCTGCCTTGCACATGCAGCTGCGCCAAGGGGAAAAATAAAAAAAACGTATGCATTCTTGTAGCCGTTCAATTTGCAACAGACATACTTGCATTGGTCTTATTGTACGTCGATGCTTAAACATTTACGCGAAGCACGCATCTCAAAGCGATGGAAGAAACGAGATGATTTATCGTGCCTTAAACCTTAGCAAATACAGCTAATTTTACGATTAGAATCAGCAATTACCGGAAAGTATGATATGAGCCTGTCGTTGACGTTCCCGTAGCTTGGCGTACTGCTGTTTCAACGTGCTAATGTCCAAAGCGAGGCGTTCACGGTCGCTGCTGGGTGCCATAGCCTGCAGAGCCCCGATCGTTTGAGGTATACGATCTGCGAACGTGTGTTTACCACGTGAAACAAGCGCACGGCTAATATCCTAACGGGACAACGATTACAACGTTAACGCATTTTTCCAGTTCCTACCTTTCTTCAGTCGTTGCGCCATGCTGAACATCGCCGCGGCCACGGCCAGCCTCTCGTCCTCCTCCGTGTCGCTGTCGTCGTCGTCGCTCAGCTTCCTCGCCCATGGCGTGATATTGTATCTGTGCTTCTCTCTCAGTCCCGTCACGCCGTGCAAGGAGCCCATACTCACGATATTCTGGGGAAAAAAAGAAACGACAAAACCGGCGTCACGTCCCGTGGATAAAGCGTCCCGGTATTATCTCCGGGCACCCAAACAAACCTTCACGAGGTTATTAGTATCCGTGAACTCGAGCATCTCCCTCGTCAGCACTCCCATTATGCTGTAAAACTCGTCGGCCGATGTTACCGTCATGATACGGCTGAAAACAAACGACGTGAGAGCACGTCGAACCAAAACAAACAGCGAACCGCCGCCACGGGTCTTTGATCCACTTACTCGGAAAGTCCTTCCCAGATGGCCAGCGCGGTTCTCAGCAATATCTCGTCGCCCTCGAGGAATATCAGGTCCCAGACGCGCAGCACCGCCTCCTGGGGCAGGCAATGACAGAAGAGAGTAAGGAACCATTGCATGGTGAACACGTTCGTCAGAGGTGGCTCGTAACTGCTGCCTGGACAAATTTTTTCCCCGCCAATGAGACAAGCGTGCAGAACCGAGAGCCCGCAGCAGTGCCTGGACTCTATCCTCGGCCCCGCTCCACACTCGATCGAACAGAGAGTTACGATTGCACAACCAGTTTGGTTACCTGTCGCCTTGTCCTTCGCGTCGTTCTGCAGCGCCTCCAGGTGTCTCGAGAGCTTGGGCAGCCTGGCCCGCAAGAGATCTCGAAACACCGCCATGTCGACGGACAGGCCGCGTAGATTGTCCGCGAAGTAGCCCTCCGGCAGGACACCCTCTATCAGGTAGATCATCACCTTCACAGCGGCCGACTCGGCGCGATCCATAACCTGCAGGACCAGGGCGGCCAACACGTTCAGGCCCTGGCAATAGCCCACGGACTTGTTCCATCGGGCGAATCCCAGTAGAACGCGACGAAGCACCGCTTGATTGTCTCTGCCAGCTGCACCGCAGAACAGACTGCAGCCCGTTCTGTGTAGGTCCTGCAACACGGTCATCGGGAACGCGTGTACGCTCGCCACTACCTCTGCTCGAGTTCACCTCGAGTTCTCCTCGAGTTCTCCTCGAGTTCTCCGCGGGTTCTCCTCGAGTTACCGTTCCAAAATCGAAGCGGAGGCGACGCCGGAGCACGGCTAGAGCTTCGGCTAGCTCTTCGTTAAAGGTCACTTTTTCCCGACGCGAGCCGGTTAATTGGAAGGCTCATCGGCGACGCTTAATTGCCCGGCGTGCGAGTGATCGATGATCGAAATTTAATTGCGCGTAATTATACGGCGAGGGGGACGTCCGAGGTACGGAATCGTGGCAGGCGAGCGAGATTTTCGTGGACACGGGATGGGAACTGGTTCTCGGGTCACTCGGCACGCCGGAGGAACATCGTTCCGGCAGGAATCCGATCGGAAGGTGGGAAAAGCGAGCGAGAGTGAAAGCTGTTTTCGCGTTGAGAAATATTTCAAGCGCGCCGCGAGGGACACGCTCGCGTCGCGACAGCTATTCCTACGGATTCGTTAAACGGACGAATATTCCTCCGTGATCGCTTTCGGAGATCTCCCGGTTAACGAGATTACTTTTTGCTTCGTGTCCGTCTGTCAGCGCGGGCTTCGATCCCGTGGCTTTGTACCCGTGATAGTCGTCGTCGGTAATGCGCGTAAAAACGAGGATTCGAGTAGAGGAAGCCTGAGAGAGAGAGAGAGAGAGAGAGAGAGAGAGAGTGAGGAAAAACAGGAAAGAGGATAGCGGATAGGTTTAAATTTCGGATCGAGGAGCACTCGAGGAAATCCCACCGCCCATCGTCGTTACGGCAGCCTCGGCGTGGAACTCGCGAGAGCAGGGTACACGCGAGGGACTATTATAAAAAGGATGTACGTTTCGCAGTCTTACTTTAACGATTTGTATACCGAGCTCTTCATCGTCAGGATTACTCCACTCGTTGAAGCAGATCTTCTCAGCCTGCTTCCAATCCACACCGCGCTGCTCCAGATGACGTTCCGCCAGCGTCAGCCATAGCTGTGGAACATTTAGAAAAAGAACGGGGTGACTTGGGAGAAAACGAGGATGCCCGCGACTGGCCACGAGACGAGGAGGCATCTAAGCATCGCAATCTCGCCTGATACTCGCCTTCTTTCGAAATTCCGGCGGAATTCCTCCCGATAACCTGGCCACCATTTTCATCGCGTCCAGCCATTGTATGAAACCACTTTCTCCTGGCTGCGGTGTCAGGCTAAATCTCATCTTCGTGTCTTCCACTGCAAATTCAACGCGTTCGGGTAATAATCTCGTCGCGTCGAGTGGAACTCGTGCAAACAGCTCCACTCTCTTTCACCTTTGCCGCGAATAACGCGAGATTAAAGAGAAGCGAAACGGGAAAGGCGAGAAAAATGGCGCAATCGTTCGGAGTGCAGAAGCTTCGCGAGGATCGCGAACAGGGGGGACGCCACGCGACGCACCAACCACGCGAAAGATGGACGGTTAAATCGCGATCGAGCGCCTCGACGATCACCGCGCCTCCAAGCTCGTTAATGCGTTTATCGGCCCGACAGTTTTATCGTCTTTAATGCCGTTATTTAATTAGGCCTTAGGCGAATCCACGAATCGGCTACGCGACGCCTTCCGCGTGCAAACTGCGCGAGATCCAGTCCGTTCATCTCTTTTCGTCCATTTTGCTTTCGCAGCAAACTTCGACTCGATCGTGCCACTCGAGTTCGGAAAAGCGAATGTAAATATTCGAGCGGCGAGAAATGCAGTTTGAACGTTTGAAAATAAAAATCTATTCGCGGGTATCGCAAATATTATATCGAAATTCGAATTTCCATTTTGTCGCGGGTAGTACAACTGTTACCGACTGCTCGATCGTGTACCAATTCAGCGTCACGAAGAAATACTGTATTTACATCGGACTCTAGTTTAACCGAGCAGAAGGAACTCGTTGATCGAATATGTTTCGCGTCGACACGTCCAAGTGTCCGTCGTTAATTTCGATCCCGGATAAACGCGATCCCGTAAGCTCGCGATCTCGCGAACGCACGATCGGTTTCCGTTATCCGTCTGCTCTCCGAGGATAAGCTTGGCGAATTCCGCGGCTCGAATCACCGGTACCGGTAACCGAATCTCCATCCAAGCACCAGGCTCTCCGCTCGAACGTAGCCTGACTCGATCGGAAATAAAGCACCGAGACGATGCGTGTGATCAACTCTTCGAAGAACACGATTCCAACTTATCCAATTGTCGGACGTTGCATGAATTTCTAGCAGCCTACAAAGGTAGTTCGCATCCTTGGAAGCTCGTCTGCGAGGAATTTCACAGTCGGCGAAGCGCGGCCCGAGCTCTGCGCGGTGTACGCGATCGGACAATTATTCGTCAAACGATTTCGTTTCACGTGGCACCGGTGAACCACGGAAATCGTGCTTATCGTCAACGATGTAAAAAAAAATCGTTAACTCGCGGCGAGACTCGAGCTCCGTTTCGCTCGCTCCGTATCGATTCCGATAATCGTCTGGGTTACGTAACGTCTGTTACCGTAGCGGTCCACGCGTGGCAAAAATTCCGCGAAAACGGGACGGAATTGAGCAGACAGCCAGGAAGGATGGAAATCGCGCGCCGATTTCGCGAAGGGAAGCGGAGGCGGCGCGCGAGCGAAGCGAAAACAGAGCTTTCGGGGCCGCGAGGCGAGAGAGTGAATCGGAATTGGCGTGGAACGGAACGAAAGCTCGCGCGGATTCGCAGTGGACATGCACCGTGATTGTCGTGATTGTTGCGTTCACCTTCCAGTTCTTCGTACTTGGAGGCAGAGCTGGCAGCGTACGCGGCTCCTGACGCGAAGTTCTTCAGCGAGTTGAAAAATCCGCTCATTCTCCAATTAGGAACGCCGCTCTTTCTTCTTCATCGTCACTTTCACCTCTGCCGCCTCTCGTCGTACGCAGTGCAGCCGCCTTTCAGCCGTTTTCGTGATTCATGATCCGTCGTCGACCTTGCGTTCATTTTCTCGGGATCATGCTCGCCAGCCGCGCTCTGCGAACCCTCTGTCGTGCGAGACGCATTTTTATCACGTGTCTGAAATCCCGTATGCAACGTTTTACCTCGCGGACCACCTCTAAAAATAACGCTCGGCCACGTTACGCGCCTCTTCGAGCGTGTTTCACCTCGGCAACGCTTTGCGGTCGCCGCTGATACGCGTCGCCGTCCAGCGGTTTCCAGGGATTCATGGGATGCGAATTTTTCCCGGTTACCGTCGGTCGGTGATCTAGTCACGGGTTCCGAAAGATTTCTTGGAACCGTCGAGCAGAAATGTACGAAGAACGGCGAACAGTGGGAACCGAATGGAGAAATTTCTTAAATTTCTTTCATTTTAATTCGAGACGTCGTTTGTTTCGCCGTGTTTATTTCATGTATGACTATTGCACGACTATTGTACGAAGGATTGGAGGAAATAGGAGAAACTCGCAAGCTTTGCAGACAAAATCGATGTCCGATGCTTCAGAGTCCATTAATAAGGAAGAATGCTCGTACAGGGGGTTTAAAGATCGTACGAGAGAATGGCGAACAGCGAAAATTGAATAAAGGAGTTCTCTTCGAGGTTTAATCCGCGAGGTTCGACCACTTGCTTTCTTAACGTGTATACGTAGTGGCGTGTGTTATTGTTATGTAAAGGGTTAGAGGAAATACGAGAAACGTCGCAAACTTTGTGGATAAATTCGATTTGTAATGCTTCAGAGTCCGTGGGGAGGGAAACGTATCCTTTATAGCTGAAGTTTCTACTGTTATCTTCCCATCTGCCATTGCCAAAATGTGCTCTTAAAATCACCGAGCGAACGTTGCCTGTATCAACGTATGCATCGTAATAATAGATACATGGCTCCCGATTATTTCGTTTATGAACGTGACAAAATATGGGGGTGGTAAGAAGTGCGAGGAGAGGTGCAATAGAATCGAGACGTTCGGGGGTGAATTGACAGCGTTAGTCTCGAACGATTAATTTCGACTGGGTGAACTGGATGTCGAAAGAGGAATAAAAGATCCCGCAGCGATAGATCGGGATACGGATGTCGAACGCGATCGTCCACTGTGTGGTTTTTCTTAATCACGTCCGCACGAAGTGTACCACCTGTTACAAAGCGCTTAATGCGGATGTACCAGCGGTACGTAACACACGCGCCCGATTCGGCGAAGAAATTCGCGATAACGGGACAAATCGATCGGTTATCGGTTTCAATTGAAAGCGCGTGACGTATGGAGAGGAACGTATACGTTTCGAACCCCTAGACCTTCGGCGTGAATGAATATTCGGGGTAGATCATTCGACGTCGATGACGAGTGGACCAATCGAGGCAAGGAAATTTAGCTCGACGTTAAATCGTATCGATTAGCGTGAAAAATAATTCGACAAATTGGTACTCTCGTACGGAGTACACTCGCGACGCAGTTGGAGGGTATGTTTGAAGTTTAAAAAATTTTGCAAATTTAAAGAGGAAGGAGAGAAGAGGAAGGAAAGAGTTGAGGAAATTTGCGAAATATTGTCCAAGTTGAAACGAAAAGGAAAGAAAATAAGAAAGGACGGGGAAAACGGGTGCATATGGTTGCTACGCACCCCACGAACACGAGCACGATCGCGTACGAATGCGAACGCGAGCACTCGCACACGTTGAACTGGAATCGCAACGCGAAACGAGGTATTAGCACCAGCCGAACTGGTATCGAACGTTTTGATTTATCTAATCCTATTCAGCCGTGGGTTACAGATCGATTTCTCCGCTCTTTCCCAGGCCTACTTATTTCTTGGCCGTGCAGAAGATGCTCACCCACCGAATAGAACGTTCCAAGCAGAGGCATAGAGGCATCGCGCACCAAACTTTCATCCCCTTTCATTCCCGTCAGCCTGTTCGCGTGTACTCGGAACTGCACGGACACGAAACGATCATCGTCGTTCGATAAATCAACGTCAACGTGCCCCATCGCGGTCAAGGAAGCTACCAAAACACATCCCCTCGAGACAGCACCCGGGGACGTCTTACCATTGTCAGTGCGCGAATCGACGACGTGAACGTGAAGCGGACGGCGTGTCCCCAGGAAAGCTGCACGTCGGTCTACGCATCTGGCCTCGTGTCATCGAGCACACACGGTTCTCGAACACTCACCAGAAGCACATCCCCGTGGTGCACCCCTCCGACACTGACGCGTACTCGTTCACCCGCTGTGTGTACGTGAGGCCAGAGAGAAATCGGGGGTAGAGAGACACTCGTTGGAATTCACGCGACACACAATGACGCCGACGATGACGACGACGACGACGACGACGACGACGATAAAGACGAAGACGACGAGCACGTATCCCCGAATCGTTCGCGATGCTTTCGCGTCTCCATAGACAGCTGCTGCGCGAGGCTCGCGGCGAGCACGCAGCACAACCCTTGTTCGAGAGGAATACGTCGAGTCAGCTGAACGACCACTACGCCGGCGGAAGAAGAGAGTTGCGCGCGCGCGTACGTCCACCGTGACAATAACCACGGTGGATGGCGTGCATGGGAGGGGTAGTTGTCTCGTGGAACCCTGCAATAGGCACACTGAAGCCGTTCCACGAACCGTTCGCTCTGCCAGCCTTAGCGATCAGCCACTCCCGTTACGCCGCATGCGCGGACGCCCACACCGTCGCCACACCACCACCACACCACCGCCACACCACCCCCCGCTCGCACGAATTCGTATCTGTGGGGGTGCTCGCGTGCGCCAACGTCTTCGCGGCCAACGGGAACACCGTGACTGCTCCGTAGGGGTGGCTCGAATCCGGTTATTACCTTTTTTCCTCGCGTCTTCGACCACGCTGCCGCGGTTATTCTTCTTCCCTTCTGCCAGTATCTTTCGCTGCCACGGACACTTCCACCGATACTTTCCGTCGAACCAGTGCGGGCTCCAAATAATCCCAGTAACTCTTTCCATTATTCTCACTCCCGTATTCCGCCCGTCCTAGAGTTCTTCTCTCGACGAAACGAGATTCCTCCACCGAGCTGTTTTCACCACGAGCGAGGTTACTTTGCCTTAATACCATACCCTGCGTTGTTTCTCGGACTCGCGTCGAGCTCAGTCGCTTCCCTCCGAATTTCTCCCCGTAAATGCGCGTTTCCATCGCGTACACGCGACGGAGCTAGGGATTCTACCGCGCCGGCATCGCGGTGCAGCAGTCGATTTTAATCCGCGTGCACAACAAAGCCGCGTTCCTTGGATCGATGAACTTATCGACTCGGTCCCTTTATGGGTCAGTCGGAAATGTCGTCAGAGTCAGTAGCAACACGCCGGAGAGACTAAGGCCATCAGATACAGCCGTGGATGGATATAGCGCGTATCTAGCCAAAGTTCTCGAGATAAAAATGAAAAACAACCATAGATGGTATTTTTATGATTTCCTATCGCGCCTGTCTCTCGTCTGCATTATTAATTATCCCGCTGCCGCGTGAATCGTCGCGTCCCAACCGATACGAATCATCCCCGCGTAGTTTACGAACCACCCTCTTTACGCGTACGCTTTGCGTCGACTTGATAATTCGGTGGTTCGCCACGAACCGTTCCTCTTATTCTCTCCTCGCGAATGTCGCGATCGGGACCGTGTCGTTCGAACTTTGACGAAACTCGAGCTCGCGGAGTTCGACCTCGGTAATCGAATTTGCAGCAATTCGCTCGACGATCGCGGGGTACGCGAAGGCACGCGGAATGGAATAAGAGAATTCGAAGGGAACGCGAAGACGCTCGGTGACTGGAGCACGAAAACGTTAATTCCCGATCAAGACGGCGGTATGGAGACATAAAAGGAGCCATCGTTTCGTGTTCTTTCGATGGGGGACAACGATAACCGGTTCCCGACATTATCGTTCGCGTGGTTAGGTGCCGGAAACAATTAGCGGTACTGTCAAGAGATCAGTGATAGGATTCTTTCTCCACGAGCGGACCATGTTCGAGGAAACGAGTGGACGAAAATAAAGGGAAAATTCGATTTATCGACGTTTCGCGATCGAGTTTCGTTTCTTTTTTTCTTTCTTTCTTTTTTTTTTTTCCTTTTGCGGGGGGTGCTCGTCTCGAAAAATCTGATCGAACGCGAATTAAAGACGAGCCGACAGCTGCTCGTTTGTAGATAGAATTACCTTTGTCCATGTCAAACGAGGCTACGTTGCATGGCCGTGTTCGATTGAGACACGCGATCCTTTTCGCGCGAATACGACCCAATTCGATTCGCTCGCGTCCAGATGGATCCTCGTGTGATCGCTTATTTTCAGCTTATTCGCGGATATTCGCTGTCGATCCTCGAATTTCAATGGACGATACACCCTAGCCGATATTAGCCATTCGAGCGTGTTCGTTCGGAGAAATGAAAGAAGTCCTCCACGACGGGACCGTATTCTACGTTGATAAAATAAATATTCCACGTCGTGGCTGAAAATTGATGAAAGTGTACGGGTAATGGAATAATCAAAAAACCAAATTTGATACCAAATTGGGAACGTTTCTGGAAAAAGGCACGCAAACCGAGTAAATCGCATTTAACAATTCATCTCTGAGGGTAGCTTAGCGTAAATGAAAGAAATCTTAATTTCTGTCAAATTTTACTGATGACGCGAGTGAGGGTACTCGAATCTATCGAATTCGAATATCGTATCTATCGTGTGACAATCTTAATAGAAATTTGAAACGATTCTCGTCAAGGGATGAACACGAGTTGCACCGCGAATGAAGTAAACAAGTTGCGCGTTGAAATTAGGTTCGTCCATAGGCAGTTTTGGGTGGAAAAAATTAAATTTTCCGCGCGAACTAGGGGTACCGCGATAATCGACGCAATCATCAACGCATAATCCGCGCGTATATATTCAGCAGATACGCTCATTTCGCAAGACCGTGTTTTTGCCGCTCTTGCAAGCGTATCGGGGTAATGGCTTGGAAACAGTTACTTAATATTTTGCACGCTCGGTTGGGCCATTGAAGCACTCCGGCAAAGGACGGAGTTTAGAAGCAGTGTTTGAAAAATTGCGCGGGGTCGATAAGTTCCTCGAGTTAAGGATGAAAAATTGTCGAACGAAAGCGTCGTCTTGTTCCAAGGAAACAAATACCGGGGTCGTCGCCGGGGGAATAGAATTCGAAAGAAAAACTAATAAATGGACGAACGACGCGGAGATTAACTTCTTATAGGTCCGTCTGACAATCGGGAAGTATTAACTCTCCGCCATCTTACGTTCGGAGTGATTGAACAAAGATTTTATAATCTGGTAGGTCCAATATCCGCTCTACCTGGACAATGATTTTATCCTTGTAGGTCTTATTATGGAGATACCGTACAATGAAAAATTTTCAATTCCCGGCAGACCTAGTAGAGTGTATAATTTTATCGATTAGAATATTATGAATAGCTAGGCTACATAATTACGAACGAAAATAATTACGAATATACCGAAAGTGAATTTCGCGAATAAAAAAATTTATAATCGATGGTGCTAATTGATCGAATTAAGGAATCATACTAACCCGTTCCTCGAAATTGAACTTCTTTTTCCTGTGTGGATAACGATCTTTCAAATGTGCAATTAAAAGAACGTAAACGTAAGAATTTCTAGCTTAATATATATTATCTTAATATA